ACCACAGCTTATATTCTTTGTTGTCATTCAAAGCTTTTAAAATTATAAGAACACCATTGTTGTTATCCTAAATTCTTCAGATTTTGGTCTTCCATTTGATTCACTAGTCTTTGTTAACTGTTATAGTACAAAGGAGACACTGATGCAAGAACAGCACCCCTCAGTAGTTAGTAATATCTTGCATGGTCAATTATTTGCTGAACACTAATGGGCATGAAATGTTCCAACAATCACAAGGGGCCATGAAGATGAAAGGGCATCTGGTAGCCAACATTGAGTTTAACATATTATTTTGAACTGCATTGTCAATCATAGCTTAAAATGTGCACATTTTAGTATAGTCTATTCCTTCATATTTTTAATTCAAGCAAATGCATTTTGAAAACTTAAGAAGTTATCCAATTCCTTTTGCAACTGATATGAATGAGCATTTTCCATGGTACTGGTCTCCTGACAGCATCGTCCATGCTTTCTGGATTAAAGTCCCACAAGATCCAGCAGTCGACCATGATGGTTCAAGACTGTCAACTGGCTTTTGCTTCATAGAAAACTTTAAGTACTCCATCGTAATTGTTTTATTGAACAAAGATCACATAAACCTGCAGCTTTTATACTCTCCTTTTTATTTTATAAGAGCTACGTATCTAACAGACAAGAATGTTTTTTGCTCATACCTATGTTTATTAGCTACAACAGCACTGACATCACCATATTCCAACACAGTAGTAACAAATTTATCCACCCAGAGAACTAAAATGCATAGCTTCTCAGGTTCAGTAATTTATTAAAGGGTAGAGTTATTTTTTCTAAAGGGCAACTTAATAATTCAGATTTTTCAAATATATGATAGGGTCATACAAAGGTTGATTCAATATTTTAAATCTGTGGAACATTACTGCATCCACTACACTTTTCTTGACGATGTTGAGAATAAGATGAAACCACAATGAACTCCACAATACAGTAAATAAAAAGATCAGTAAAATACGTTTGGTAACCGAGGAACCCCGAGGGCAGTGGCACACAGTAATGAACCTGTCCCTCTACCCTTTTCTGCTTAACACGAGCCTTTTTTCTGTGGCAATATTTAAACCCGTGACATGCACCTAACTCGCACATCACAAGTTGCGCTCTTTCCATATACCTAAGCACTCGCTTCAAGCTGCTCTCTGGCAACTAGACCAAAGCACTCAGGGCAAAATTGATAGAAATTCAAAAAAGTCTCACTTATGAATGCAGATTCAAAACCCTGGGAAAAGCTAAGAGGAATGTTACTGCATCCACTACAGTCTTTTCGACCATGTTCAAGATAAGATGAAACCACATTGATGATTGAACTCCAACACTCAACTCCACAATACTAAAAAAAAACTGTAACCCAGAAATCCCCGGGCAGTGGCACACAGCAATGGACCTGTCTTGCACCTTAACCCACATATCACAAGTTACCTATGCCACTAGACCAAAGCACTCAGGGCAAAGCTAATAGAAATTAAAAAGAAAAAAAAATCTTACTTGTGAATGCAGATTCAAAACCTGGGAAAGGTTAGATAACCAATCTCCAAAAAAACATTCAAATTCTTAACACAAAAAGCATTCCAGAAAGAAAAAGAAAGCCTAAAACGAGGGTAAAGGGTGAAAATGTAGCTTACAGAGGCACAAACAACGAATATTACTGCTAGACTACACTATGTTGAACACATTGAACTCCAATACTCAACTCCACAATACAAAAAAAAAAGTAATTTTTTGTGGTAACCTAGAAATCCCGAGGCAGTGGCACACAGTAATGGACTGGTCTTGCGCCTAACCCACACATCACAAGCTGCCCTCTTGCCACTAGACTCAAGCACTCAGGGAAAAATTGATAGAGATTAAAAAATAAAATAAAAAAGAAACTCATCTATGGATGCAGGCTCAAAACCAATCTTAAAAAAACACATTCAAATTCTCAGAATAAAAAGCATCTTTTGTTGGTTGACTACCTAAACTTTCAACTTGTCTATTATGAAAGTTCAATTCCCAACTTTGTAACCCCCGCCCCCGATTTTTTTAGAAAAATAAAAAATAAATGCAAAGAAAATAGGAAAAGGGGCGAAAATGTAGCTTACAGAAGCGCGAACGACGAAGGAGCTGGATTTGTTGGAGCGAGAAACACGAGAAGAAATGGAACGGGGGGCACGTGAAACTAAAGGGTTACAGTTTCGGAGTCCATTGAAAGATGAAGAAGAAGGAACAACAATTGTTGACTGAGAAAATGAAGGCAATTTGAATGAAGCAGCAGCAGCAGAAGCCCTAGGGTTTGTTGAAGAAAGAATCCCAGTAGAAGTAGCACTGCAAGCCATTGAAATTTGGAAGAAAACCAGTTGCAGTAGAATTTGTGTGAGAAA